AGAGGAAGGGAGAGGGATAGAGAGAAACATCGATGGGAGAGAAATATCGATCAGCTGCCTCCTGCACACCTCCTATTGGGGATGTGCCCTTAACCCAGGTACATGCCCTTGACCGGAATCGAACCTGGGACCTTTCAGTCTGCAGGCCGATGCTCTATCCACTGAGCCAAACTGGTTAGGGCCTCATTCCCATTTTTATAAAGAACCCCACCCCTTGCCCTAACTGGTTTGGCTCAGTGGATAGAGCATCGGCCTGCAGACTGAAAGGTCCCAGGTTCGATTCCGGTCAAGGGCATGTACCTGGTTGTGGGCACATCCCCAGTAGGGGGTGTGCAGGAGGCAGCTGATCAATGTTTCTCGCTCATCGATGTTTCTAACTCTCTATCCCTCTCCCTTCCTCTCTGTAAAAAATCAATAAAATATGTTAAAAAAAAAAAAAGAACCCCACCCTGTGGCTGCTGCAGGGCTGTGGTTACGGTTGGTGGTTGGATTGGTGGTTGGCGCACACATTAGGGAGCCCTGCTTCCCTCCTCAGTGATCCTGACAATATCTCCTTAGACACCCCTCCTTGGGCCTGCTGGGTGGTTGCACTTAAGCATGACTTTTAGGAGGACAATACAAAGCCATTTTTAAAATATATATTTTTATTGATTTCAGAGAGGAAGGGAGAGGGAGAGAGAGAGAAAAACATCCATGATGAGAGAGAATCAGGGATCGGCTGCCTCTTGCACGCCCCCTACTGGGGATGGAGCCTGCAACCCGGGCATGTGCCCTGACAGGGAATCGAACCGGTGACCTAGGTCAACGCTCAACCACTGAGCCACGCCGGCCAGGCTGGGGGTCTGGAATCTTGATAGTAATTGCGAGGCAGAGTTTTAATAATAGTATTGGCAGCAGCTGTCACCAGGAATTTTTTGAAAGAGGTTAAAATAACTTGTTTATGGTCGCAGAGAGCGTCGTTTAACTCCAGGGCGATCTTCAGTCTCTTCACTAAAGTGCTCACATTTTTCTCGGCGGAGATGCCTGACGTGTGGCGGACATGCTGACGGAGACATTTCCGCGCCCGTCCTGTGTTACCTACCAGATGTCCGCGTCTCCCATCGGCCCTTTAATTACACCGATTTAATATTGATTTTCTCTCTAATACATGGATTTCCTCAGTGCGCTGCTCTTAGGAGGGTGTTTTCCTATTTCCGAACGGTTTTATTGGCGCCGATTTTAAGACCATTTTCACTGAAGTCTAACTTCATTTTGTTGTGGTCAGAAAACGTGGTTTGGACAATTTCTGCTCTTTTTTGTTGTTGAACATTTATTGAATTTTTGCCCTAGCTGGTTTGGCTCAGTAGATAGAGCGTCGGACTGAAGGGTCCTGGGTTTGATTCCGGTCAAGGGCATATGCCTGGGTTGCAGGCTTGATCCCCAGTAGGGGGCGTGCAGGAGGCAGCCAATCCATGAATCTCTCTCATCATGATGTTTCTCTCCCTCTCCCATCCTCTCTGAAATCCATAAAAATATATATTTACATATATATTTTTAAAATATATTTTATTGATTTTTTACAGAGAGGAAGGGAGAGGGATAGAGAGTTAGAAACATCGATGAGAGAGAAACATCGATCAGCTGCCTCCTGCACACCTCCCACTGGGGATGTGCCCGCAACCAAGGTACATGCCCCTGACCGGAATCGAACCTGGGACCCTTCAGTCTGCAGGCCGATGCTCTATCCACTGAGCCAAACCAGTTAGGGCCATAAAAATATATTAAAATAAAAGAAAATTTATTGAATTTTTATAGCCCTGAATATGGTTAAATTTTGTCACAGTTCCGTGGATGCTTGAGGAAAAAAATAAAAGGATGTTCTCTGTCAAGAAAAAGCTTGACATATATCTATAAAAATAATATTGCTCCAATGCACTATATCATTATTTTTGTGTATTTGATTTATTGAAGACGGAGGTACCGTCTTGGCGTCCCGCATTCCAGGTACAATGTTTCTCCTCCTGCCATTTTCACGTTGCATATTTCAATCCGATGTTATTTGATTCTTCAGATTTATGAGTTTTATACATTCATTGCAGATTGTGCCCTTTGTCAAAATAAGACTTTTAAGTCCCATTTAATGGGACTTGTTCTTGAATATGGCTCCGCTGCATATTTCCGTGGCCGTGCCTGCTATCACTTATGTTTGCTTAGCCTCTGCGTTTCCATATTTCTCTCTTAAAATATTTTAGGAGAGGCAAACGAAATAGATAATTTAGGCATGTTTTCACATACGTCATGGTTTTTCTTTCTTCTCCTCTCTTCAAAAGCATCTCTTATAGACAACATACAGTGGGACTCATCAAAACGCATCTGAAGAATTTTGTCGTGTAATAAGGCTGTTTAACCTATTTAGACATATAGCAAATTTTGGTGTCACTTCTATCATTTCGATTTTATCCTATTTTCAATGCTTCTTTGCTTTTTTCCATTCCTTCCTCCCTCCCTCCCTCTCTCCCTTTCTTCTTTTTAAAAAAAATATTTTTATTGATTTCAGAGAGGAAGGGAGAGAGAGAGAGAGAGAGAGAGAGAGAAACATCAATGATGAGAGAGAACTATTCATTGACCGCCTCCTGCACGCCCCCTACTGCGCATCAAGCCTGCATCTTGGGCATGTGCCCGGACCGGGAATCGAACCGGGACCTCCTGGTTCGTAGCTCGACGCTCAACCACTGAGCCACGCCGGCCGGGCGTGATCTATTTTATAAGTTCTTGCATATCTGAGCATATATGCTCCATTTGCTTGTGAGCAGAAACTTGGCTGATTATAAGTTTACTGGGTGTTAAGCCTTTCTTCTACTTTCAAGTTCTGGGTAGTTCTCCATTCCCTCTGGCATCTGGTGTTGCAGAAGGACGTATGACCCAAGAATGAGTTTTTGTGTATACACAGATGTGCATCTATGAATTTACCTTTACACACACACACACACACACACACACACTCACTTCTTAAAAATAACCTCAATCACCTGGCTGGTGTGGCTCAAAGGTTGAGTGTTGACCTATGAACCAAGAGGTTGCCGGTTTGATCCCCAGTCAGGGCACATGGCCGGTTGCGGGCTCCATCCCCAGAGTGGGGCGTGCAGGAGGCGGGCAGTCAGTGACGCCGTGTGCCCCGTCCTCTCGCCTTTCGTGCCGTAGAAATCAGACACTCGGTACCTCAGGGCTGTGCGGAAATGTTGCCCCCCACTCAGCTCCATTGACCGTCTCCTGGGCAGTGGGAAGAGCCCCCTCTGCAATCACTTCACACCCAACATTGGGCCGATCAGGGCCCCACAGTAACGTCTAGACCAGGGGTCCTGAAACTTTTTAAACAGGGGGCCAGTTCACTGTCCCTCAGACCATTGGAGGGCCGGACTATAGTTTAAAAAAAAAAAAACTATAAAAAAATTCCTATGCACACTGCACATATCTTATTTTGAAGTAAAAAAACAAAACGGGAACAAATACAATATTTGTATTTGCATGTGGCCCGCGGGCCCGTAGTTTGAGGACCCCTGGTCTAGACGATCAGGGCTCACACAAGTGTAAGCTGTGTTGCTGTTTTCGGCGATGGGCATCATGGTCCCCAAATCTTAGCCGTACACGCTCCTGTTTTGTTTCCGCCCCAGACTCACCTGGACCTCCTGGAAAAAAGTGTCGACCCCAAGACGGTGTACTTCCGGCAGGAGGCTCTCTGCCGGACGCTGGGAGGCAACGCCTGCCCGCTGGTGACCGTCACGGCCATGCCCGCGTCGGCCAGCCCGGCCCACCTGGAGCAGTTCCGTGAGTGACAGGGGGGCCTCTCCTTTGAAGATCAGGGTGGTGGTCGAGGTGAGGGTCTCAGAGTCTCAGCGACGCATCTGTCCCTTGGAGAACCAAAGCTCCATAAACGTTTGGGGACTGGCCCATCTCTATAGCAATACCAGCCCCAGCCCTTCCTGGCACGACCCAAGAATTGCTCTGGATCGAAGGAGACTGGGTTCGCTTGCTCCCTAAGGCGAGTGACCACAAATACAGGGTGTCCCCCAAATAAGCAGACACACTTTGCATGACTGTTCATTCCAAGGGGTTAAATCTGAACCGAAAGAGACATCCGTTGAGCTGCCAGGAAAAAGGTGTGTCTACATTTTGGGGATAAATACGAATGTCGCTCTGTTGTGAAAGGGAGAAAATAATAAATTGCGGAAAAAATAAAGGTGGGGGTGGGGGGCTGGAATGGCTGGTTGGCATGGAGAGCAGTTTGCTAGTGACATCACTTCCTGTCCTAAGACACAATCGGGACTCTGCATCCTGTTTTCCAGCCTTTATCATTGATTGATTTGATTGATTGATGGATGGATGGAGGGATTGTATCTTTATTGTTGAAAGTATTTTCACGGAACGGACTTTTGAACCTCAGAGGGAAGGCAGGGGGGGTGGGGGGGGGGAAGAGGGTTGAACTTGCCTGCATAGATCCATCACCCATTTTCCAGCCTTTAATCAGGGGCTTCCCTCACTGTGCTGACTGCTGTCTAAGCTCAAGGTCAGCCAGGTTTGGAGAGGAAGGGGGTGGAGTCCCAGAGCCCTGGCTGCGGCATCCCCTCACCCCCTGGATAACCGGAATGGCATTTGGATCTGAGAGGCTGTGGGTGTGGAGGAGGCCCTGGCCCGGAACCATAAGACCAAAGCAAAGGGCACACATGTGCCTTCTCCCCCCCCCCCCCCCTCTCCCTCTCTCTCTCTCTCTCTCTCTCTCTCTCTCTCACACACACACACACACACACAGTGGGGCGTGCCTGGAACCAGCCAGCTTGTAAAGTTGGTTTGTACAGTTAGTTTCCCACCTTCCATAGGCAAGAAAGACCAAGCAGAATGGCGAGTGCTTTGCAATGCAGAAGGGTTTGGGAGCCCGGCCGGCGTGGCTCAGTGGTTGAGCGTCGACCTAGGAACCAGGAGTTCACGGTTTGATTCCTGGTCAGGGCACAGGCCCCGGTTGCAGGCTCGATCCCCAGTGGGGGGCGTGCAGGAGGCAGCCGATCGATGATTCTCTCTCATCGTGGATGTTTCTATCTCTCTCTCCCTCTCCCTTCCTCTCTCTGAAATAAATTAAAACATATTAAAAAAATAAAAGGTGTGGGAGACGGAAGAGAAGACTGGGGAGCGAACGGACAGGGGGACCTGGTAGGTGGAAATTTTTCTGAGGGAGAATGTCGTTCTCTTATTAGAAACTCATTTGCCAAGTACCATAGTCAGTAAGTGACTCACTGGGGAGAAGGCAAGTAACATCCAAGGTGGGTGGGAGGGGGCGGAGCTCCTATTTTGGGAAGGGAGGCACCTCCAGCCTGCGTTGATCATCCCCTAAAAGAGGAGAACATAACCTTTCTATTCTCAGGAGGGGAGCTAACCTTC